CACAGGCTCTCCGCTTGTTGGGAGGCTGGTCCCAGGGCCAGGCCACAGGGAGGGCACAGAGGACTGGCACACAGGGTGCGGATGCCTGCAGAAGGGCCCCAGCAGGCAGGGAGGCATGGCCTGTCTCCCGTCCCCGCCCAGTTCCAGGGGCCCCGAGCTGGTGTGCACTGGGGAAGCCTCCCAGCAGCGGCTCTGGGGCTCCATGGACCTGTGTGAGGGCACCGCGCCTCTGGCCATCCTTGGTCTCTTCTCCCATCAAATACCCCTAAAGGGACAGTGCTGAGACCTGGAACCTGGGGAGGCAGGAGGAATGAGCCTACTTTACAAACGCTTTACTGAGACTCAGCAAGTTAAGTGACAGGCAGAGGTGACAGAGCCTGAGTGGAGCCCACGTCCCTCGGATGCCCACCTAAACCCTCAGGCCACTGTGATGCAGGTGCCAGGTCACTCACCTCGGCAAGGGCCTGTGTTGCGAGTGGGGGCACTGCCTGAGGAAGTGGCATTTCAGCTGCCACCACTCTGACTTCTTGAGCCCAGTGCCCATGGTGGGCGTGATGAGGCTGGCAGGCGCCTGCTGCCGTGTGCGATCCCTGATTAGTGTCCTGCTCAGGGCCGCACCCCGCCTCCATCCCCAAAGCTGGGCCGTTGCTGGCCAGCTTCCTCATCTGACCAGGCTCCAGGATGGGCACAGCTGTCATCTGTGGGACTGGGCTATGGACCCGTCTCACTAGGTCAGGCCTTGGCGGGGTGTGCAGAGCCCATCGTCTCTAAGCGTTTCTGGAGATGGTGTGGTGTGGGGAAGCACAGGGTTCTGGGCGCACTGGGCCCCACTCCTGGCTCTGTGTGCTGTGTGGCTTGGGTAAGTGCCTTTACCAGCTTAGGTCTCAGTTTCTTTAGCTGTACAATGGGCTTCAAAGCAGAACTCATCTCCTAGGGCCATGGAAAGGTAGACTGAGCCTCCAGGGCTCAGCAGTCTCTGGCGGGCAGTGCTGTGCACAGATATTTGATACTGGTGGTGGCACTGATAAGTGCCCTGGATGGGATAAGATGCTTCCATCCACCCATTTCCTACATCCAGCTTGGCCAAGGCCACAAGGGGCCCTCAGGAGCTGTGATGGCTGTAACTCTAGACAAGAATTTTACCTCTGAGAGGGCATCTCCTCTGGGCCCTGAGCCCTAGAGCCCTTCACTGCAGGGAGATGTGCTGTCCTCTTTGAGGTCACCTATAGCACTAAGCTTGATTGAGGTCCTGGGGAAGCCCAGTCCTCTGTGCCTACCTTGATCTCAGCTGGGCTCGTTACATAGCCCAGGGTGGCCTCGAACTCATGGCAATCCTCCTGCCTCAGCCTCCCAATTATTAGGATTACAGTAGTGTGCCTCCACACTGGCCAGGGCAGGGCTCTGAAGTGCTATGCATTTGTTGACCCTGGAGGTGTCAGGTCCCACCTCTGACCACATGGACTGCAAGGATTTGGGTCCCAGCACTCCTCCCCTTAACACCTGCTTCCCTGACTGTCACAAAGTGACCAGAGCCATGGACTCCAGAGTCAGAGGGTTCAGGGCACAGAATTGACCTCACCTTCATCCTGAATGAGCTCCCCAATCCATTTTACAGGAGAGGGACCTGGGGTGCAGAGTGGACAGGCAGCTTGCCAAAGGTCACACAGCTCTGAGACAGGAGACTGGAATCTGAGTTTCTGTCTGTCCAGAGTCCACACTGTGATCTGGTTTATTTTTCTGCCCCTGATGTGGGGCTGGGAACAGAGCCTGTGAAGGCAGCTGACTCCCGAGGGTCTCCCTAGGCATCTGGGTCCTGTCCTTATGGACTGTGGAATCTGGGACCCCTAGAAAGCTTCTTGTACAACCCCTAAGTGTCCCTGTGGCCCACAGCCTCCCATCCACGTATGAAAGTGAGTGGCAAGTGTGCTGAGCAGGTTATGTCTGCAGCCCCGCACTGAGAGCCCTGCCAGGAACCGCGGGCCAAACCCAGTCCTATGTGTCTGTCCCCTTGGCATCTTGGGATTCACAGAGGGGACTCGGAGCTCAGAGAGGCTGTGAAGCTGCCTTGGCCAAGCTCACACAGCAAACGGGATTAAACTAGGTCTTCTGGGAAACCCGAGACCCCAGTCCTGCCTGGCCTGGAAGCCTCACATTTCTCCCATGGCCCAGAGTAACAGCGGTGGTTTTTATTTTCTTTTGATTTTAACAACAGCAACAGCAACAACAACAGAACGTGAGACCAGAGATTGAAAAGTAAGATATGGGGCGGTCAGAGAGCCTCCCCAGACTGGGCTGGGGTTTCAGGAAATGCTCCACCCAGCAGACATGAGAGCAAACATGGGCCTGGCCAGCCCCTCCCACCAGAGTCAGGACAAAGTCCCGAGAGGCAGCGGCCAGCATGGGTCCAGGTGCAAGGCCTTCTGCTAAGCCACAGGCTGCATCCATGCCATGGGGACAAAGGCCTGCCTAAGGCCCTGCCTATGCAGCAGGCAGAGGTCCACTCCCTGTCCCCTCCCAGGAGCAGCAAATGAGTCCCTGGCTCTGAGCCCCCACACTGGGCACTCACCTGCAATCTGCAAGAAACTCAAGAAGCTCTGCTCTGTGACTCAGGAAATCAACTTCCGATTACTACTGTGACCCTCTTCAGTCTCAATTATGTGTCACTTACAGAGTGCTGGGCACTTAACACACACTAACTCCTTCAGGGCTCATGTGACCCATGGTCCAGTTCATTTAACAGCTGGGTTTTTTGTTTTTGTTTTTGTTTGCTTGTGAGACAAGGTCTTGCAGTGTAGTTCAGGCTGGCCTTGAACTCACTATACGGCCCACGCTGGCCTCGAATGTATGGTGATACTCCTGCCTCAGCCTCCTGAATGCTGGGACTATAGGCCCGTGCCATTGTGGCCAGCCTCATTTTGCAGCTGGGAGAGCTGAAGATCAAGGGTGTACTAACTGTCCCGGGCCACAGAGGGAGGACAGGGCCAGGGCACTTGATGGACTGAGGCCACCGTGGGCTGGCCTGACAGCAGGTAACCATCACACCCATGGGGCAGGGCAGGTAACCCCATTTGCCGACTGAAAGTCCTTCTGCAGGGTCCCTGGGGCGCTGCAGCTGGGCTGCAATAGACCAGGGGTGGACCCACGGTCTGTGTGTGCCTGCCTACGCTGCCCGTTCCGCCTCTCCATAAGGCAGCCCCAATGAGGAGGAGCAAGACGGGGTGGGATGGAGAACACAGAGCTGTGTCCTCCTATTTCCCAGAACTCTGCTTCCATAGTGCGCTCTGCCCAGCTTTGGTGCGAACTTTGGTCTCCCACTGCCTGTGGGCCCCTTTGAAAGTGCAATGATCCCAAAGGTCTGGGGCACAGGTATACTGTGCAGGTAAACGACCCGGGGAGTGAGTCTACAGGGAGTCAAGGGTGAGTCGGAGGCTCAGGAGCTTCAGGTGACAAATTTTCCAGCCAGCTGCTCCCCAGTGGGTGCTGCCACACCAGGAAACCAGGTCTACATGCACCCCAGCAGGGGCAGAGGACCGGGCCAGGCTCCCTGAGGACAGGGTGCACCAGGACCAACACCTCTGGGATCCCCCAGGACAATCCTGGGATCCAGGGCCTCCACAGGAGAGCGTGTGGGAGCCGGAAGACAGACCCCCAACCCCCGGTGGGGCTTTGCAGGGCAGAGGCCTTGGGACTGGACGGAACATGCCTGCCAGGGGTGCATAGTTTAGGAAAAGCTCCCATCCGCTTTTGTGAGCCAAAGGAAATTCAGGCCCGGTCTTGGGGGAAGCCACCCACACCACCTTGGCCAGCGACAATGCCATTGCTGGGAAGCTGAGCCTTCAGCTTGCAGATCAGAATTGATCCTCCTCCCCTCAAGAACCCTCCTCACCTCTCCAGGCCCCTCTCCCTTCCTTGTTCCAACCCTGTACACAAAGCACTTACTATATATAAAACATGTTCAGGGCTTGGGACACAGGGTGACAGAGACAAGGTGTGTCCCTTCCTCCCAAGGAGCTTGCACCCTAGCAGGAATGTGGACATGGGTGAACCAGGAGGCTGGGTGACACCTGGATGTGCTAGTGACTGGGCCGGGTATTGGCATTTGCTGGTTCCTCTGAGCAGCTGAGAGAGCTGAGTGTAGATAGGAAACAGTGGAACCCTGGGAGGAATGATTCTGGCAGGGAAACAGCAAGTGCAAAGGCCCTGTGGTGGACAAAGGCCCAGGCCCCTGGGCCAGTAGGGAAGAGACTAAGTGATTGTGTGTAAAGGCAGGAGTGACAAGAGGGAGGAGGGACAGAGCAAACCACAAAGAGCCCATGAGCTACATAAGGTGTCTGGATATTTGTTGTGTGTGTTTTGAGACAGGGTTTCACTGTGTACTTCAGATTGGTGTTGAACTCACTATGTAGTCCAGGCTGGCCTCAGACTCACAGTGATCTTCCTGCCTCAGCCTCCCAAGTGCTGGGATTACAAGTGTGAGTGTCCATGCCTAGCTTCTGAGACTGGTTTTTATAGCTAGTAAGTTGTTTGACTGCATCACCGTTAGAGAGATGTGGGCCAGAGAGGAACAAGATGCAGGCTGAGTTCCTGGCATCTTCCCTGCCGTGTAGACAAGGGGCTAGGAGAGCAGGGGTGGAACCCGGGACCTGTGGACACTGAGCTGGTCCAGGCTGCAGCGGGGCCAGAAGGAGGAGACACAAGAGCTCTTAGGTGTCGGGCTGAGCACTCAGTGGGTAGAATGGCCATTCACCGTCCTTCCTGGACCCTGCAGCACTTAGAGCTGAGCGTGCCGGCCTGCAGGGAGCTGTGAAAGCCCCTCCTCGGCATCTCCTAGGAGCCCTGCGGTGTCAGGAGCTGTTAAGTGCAGAGGGTTTTGCAGAAGACTGGGGTGGACTGTGCGTGCGTTCAATGCTTGTGTGTCAGGACTGGAGGCTAATGCAGGGTGAGGCGGGAGGAGACCTGCTGCTCCTGCCCCAGTGACAGCGCAGCCTTCTCCCTGACAGTGCCTGTGTCTCCCGGACTCACCTTCTGAGGAGCTGCGGGAAACTCCCAGCTGCCGTCACCGCACAGGTGAGGAGCAGGGGCGGGAGGGCTGCTGCCTGGGGGAGGTCACACAAAGTGGTGCCCTCAGGGCGGGGTCAAGCCCGTGCCTCCTGACTCTGGGCCCCGAATCACCATGGTCCCCGCACCACTTGGCTCCCCAAGGCTTTTCAGGCCAGGTTGAAAGCTCCCCCCCCCAGCCCAGGTGAGGAACTGAGTCATGGGGAGGGAGCAGCACAGAGAGGAGGCCCCAGAGACACCCACCTTTCTCAGCCCCATCTGCTGCACCCAAGGGCCTTGAGGATGGGGGAAGGCTGGGCAGCGGATCCTGCATCCAGGGCACACCCTTGGGTGAGGACAGAAGACGCCTGAGCATAGTCTCAGCTGACTCGGGGGCAGTGGATCCCTGACTCCTGCAAAGTGGCCGAGCACTTAAAGTACTGATGTCCTTGTGGAAGTCCCTCCTGCTCTCCTTCCTGCCCTAGCCATCCATCTGCCCAACATTTGTCCATCCATCCATCCACTTCCTCCCTATCCATCCATCCATCATCCATCCATCCATCCATCCATCCATTCATCCATCCATCCACCTGCTCCCCTATCCATCCATCCACCCATCCTTCCATCCATCCATCTATCCATCCACCTATCCATCCATCCACCTGCTCCCCCATCCATCCATCCATCCATCCATCCATCCATCCATCCATCCACCTGCTCCCCCATCCATCCATCCATCCATCCATCCATCCATCCATCCACCTGCTCACCTATCCATCCATCCATCCATCCATCTATCCATCTATCCATCCATCCACCTGCTCACCTATCCATCCATCCATCCATCCATCCATCCATCCACCTGCTCCCCCATCCATCCATCCATCCATCCATCCATCCATCTACCTGCTCCCCCATCCATCCATCCATCCATCCATCCATCCATCCATCCACCTGCTCACCTGTCCTTCTACCCATCCTTCCATCCATCTATCTATCCATCCATCCATCCATCCATCCACCTGCTCCCCCATCCATCCATCCATCCATCCATCCATCCATCCACCTGCTCCCCCATCCATCCATCCATCCATCCATCCATCCATCCATCCATCCACCTGCTCCCCCATCCATCCATCCATCCATCCATCCATCCACCTGCTCCCCCATCCATCCATCCATCCATCCATCCATCCACCTGCTCCCCCATCCATCCATCCATCCATCCATCCATCCACCTGCTCCCCCATCCATCCATCCATCCATCCATCCATCCATCCATCCATCCACCTGCTCACCTGTCCTTCTACCCACCCTTCCATCTATCCATCTACCCATCCATCCATGCATCTATTCTGCCATTAGTCTGCCATCTATCCACCCATATCTTCATCCATCCTGTCCCTGACCTCATCATCCATCCATCCACCCACTTATCTACCCATTGATTTATTCATTCAACAGCATTTTTGGGGCACCTGCTTTGTTCTCATGAGGAACACATAGTCTTCCCCCTCCAACATCACAGTCACAGGCAATGACTGGACCAGTAGAAATTACTGTACAGCAGATGATATTTGCTGACAGCTGCCCATAGGCCAGGCCTTTAGCCACATTGTCTAACTTAGTGTCTGGAAAAAGTCTGAGAAACAGGTTCTGTGTTCCTCCTTTCACAGATCAGTGGTGGGGGGCTCAGAGGCGTTAGGTCACATGGCGAAGATCACACAGCTAGGAGGTGACAGACCTGCATTCAAACCCAGGCAGTCACAGGCAGGAGCCTGTTCTGGGGACTATCCCTCAGCCAGTGCTGCTGGAAGGAAGCCCCTCCCCAGTCTGTGTCCTGGGGGTTGGGCATTAGTGGGGCTGGGGCTGGCTGAGGAGGAGTCTCCTGCGGATGAGGAATCAAAACAGAGCAAGAGTTAGGAAAAGAGCAGAATAGTTTCACTGTACAGACAGATTTAGCATACAATGATACATTCGGGCAATTTAAATTAGAGCTGCCTAGAAAGGGCCACCGTGCCTGCCGTCCCGTGAGTTGTGTTCACACTGCATGCCCGGTGGCGGGGTGCTGAGAGGTTCCAGCAGGAAAGCCCCCCACGCCCGCCTTATACAGCAGGCGCACGCTAGAGAGGGCATCAGGGGACATTCTGCAAACAAGACACTCATCCTTTGCTTCTGCAAGGACTGAGCCAGCTGGCACTGACGACAGACATGGACCCGGCGAGGCTCACGGAGCCCCGGGGGTGCCAGGCGCTGCCCTCACTGTCTCCATGGCAGCAGGTGCCAGGAGGACGCCTCAGGGGGAGGCGACAGCCAGGCAGGCTCTTCCCTGGGGCCACGAGTAGCACAGCTGGATGTGGGCCCTGCCCTGGACCCTCGTCTTCCCTCTCCTGCGGTCCCTCTGTCCCTGGCGAGTCCACGCGCCCCGCTCCTGCTGAGGACCCTGCCACCGAGCCCCTTTCGCCCCTGGCACCGGGATCCGGAAAGAAATGTCATATGCGAGGGTTGGAGAGTGGTAGCATAGACACAGACCCTTGAACGGCACGGCATTTCCATGTGTTTTCATATCTCTCCCTCTGTAATACTCAGATATGCAAACTCTGTTCTTAGCTCACAATGGACAGGAGTCGTGGGCAGCGCTGGGTCAGTTGTCTGAGTGCTGACTTCTCCCCAGTGTGGGCAGGCTGAGGCGCGTCCCCAGGGCTGGGGAAGGCGGGGCTGGGTCACAGCTCAGGCCCTCAGAAGCCAGTGCCAAGGTCTCTACAGCCTGGCACGCCCACACCTGCAGGGCAGAGACCTTGTCCAGGACACACACCGGCACCCACGCCTACACCCACACCCGCTCCCTGGTACCACCCACCTCCCTGAGGGGCTCTCCTGATTGGCTGAGCCACCTGCCACTCAAGAGCTTGCTCGCTCTCATTTCCGCATGGGAAACACTGCCTCCCTGGTGGTTCCCAGAGGCCCAGCTCCTCTCTTGTCGTTCATCTCCCGGTGATCTTGGGCAAGTCATTCACCTTCAGTGCCTCAATTTACCCACAGGGCGCTGAGGGCTTAGCCCACTGCAGGATACAGCGGGAAAGTGAGGAGGAGAACAGCCGAGGTCTCACTGGGTCGGGAATATCAGGGGAATGCCAGCCCCCGGCCTGCCCTGGACACCAGGGCTGCCCAGGCTGGGACCCGGGCCACAGGGCTCCCAGCTGCCTCCCTGCCCCAAACAAGGGCCCCTTTGAGAGCCTCACTGGACGAGGGAAGCTGGCCCTCCCCACGGGTCTCTTTCTGAGCTCCTGGTTGGCAAGGAAGGAGCGAGATGGTGTGTGGACACAGCCGGAAGGGCGGGGACCCCGGCTGACAGGCCATTCACAGCAGGAAGGGATGGTGGCCCGCTGTACCCCTGGCCTGTGGCTCTCCTCCCCCACCCCGGCCACCGCTGTTCCCACAGCTGTCCCAGGCCAGCTGTCCTGCTGGGCTGCTCATCTGGCCTGGGGGAGGACCAGAGGGCAAACAGCTGCACTCAACCCCCCTCCTGGGACCTTCCACAGTCTCCACATGGTCCTTGTCATCGCAGAAGCACAGCTGGCGTCACCCTGGGTGACTGTGACAACTCAGAAATAACTGGGTGTCCTATTGTAGAGCAATGGCAGGCACTTTGTGGCCTGTCTGTATTTGGGGTTTTTGCTGTTTGAGACAGGGTCCTGTAATGTGATAAGTGAAACCACTGTGTACACAGATTAGCCTTGAAGTTACAGTGATCCTCCTGCCTCAGCCTCCTGAGTGCCAGGATTGCAGGCCTGTGCCATGATACCCAACTCTATATTTGGGGGGTTTTGTGTTTTTTGTTTTTTGTGGGTTTTTTTGAGACAAGTTCTTGCTATGTGGTGCAGGTTGGCCTTGAACTCAGTATGTAGTCCAGGCTGGCCTCAAACTCAAGACGATCCACCTGCCTCAGCCTTCTGAGTGCTGGCATTACAAGCATGTGCCACCATGCCTGGCAGTATATCTGGGATTTTAACTTGAGGCCATTGGGGTTCCTGAAACTTGTTTGAAAATGCTATCTATATATGAATTTCAAGGGGAGTCTGTGATCCCAAAACTGTCTAGAGGAGGGGTCCCTATGAGCGTATAGATTTACATGGTAAAACAGTTTGTTAGCAGACACTGTGTGTTGTGAAAGAAAGACTGTGCAGGTCGAGCCCGATGTGGTTTAAAACCCTTGGACACACACATACACGCACACAGGAAGTATAGCTACTTAAAGCAAAGGAGGGTTTTATCTCTGGGTGAGATAACAATTTTTGTTTGATTTGTGGTTATCTGTGTTTGTCGGATGCATAGGTATTTCCTTTGAAGGGTAGGCTCCTTCTGAGAAGCCAGCGTGGAACAAACTGCAGACCTCATCCTGGGGTCTCCCTCAGGCCTTCCTGACTTCCTGGCCTTGTGGTGTGGACCAAGTCCAAAGCCGGGTGCAGGGGTCTCCCCAGAGGCCTGTTCCCCGGAATGGTGGCCCTGCCCCTGCCTCCCGAGACCCAGGCCTGAGACTTCTGACCCCTGCACTTCCTGGCTCCGTGGTGTCCCCTGAAGCAGGGACCGGGTGACTTGCTTCTCCATGAGGGAACTGGGATGCTTTGGGGTTTGGGGTCCTCGTGTGGGCTCCCCCGACCCTAGTCCCTGAGCCCCACCTTCTCTCCCTTCCCCAGGGAGCTCCAGGCCAGCACTATGGGGGAGGCCTGCATCAAAATCACCAAATACCTCCTGTTCCTCTTCAACCTGCTCTTCTTCGTAAGTGTGGCCGCACCCCGACTGTCCCGGACCCCCAGGGCCATCCTGGGGAGATGTGGGTGGTGGGTGACCTCGCAGGGGTCAGGGTTGCACCTTCTGGAAGGGGGCTGATGGGGCAGAACAGGATTCCTGGGTGGCATCCCGGCCTGGCTGCCTCTCCCAGGGCCCGTGCATGGGCGGCATGGGAGGAGGACAGCTGGGGAGCCCCCACCCCACAGAGATTGCATCATCTTTCCCAGAGCCCCCAAGGCCTGATGCTGGGGCAGGGGCACAGGGACCCCTTTCCCGAACACTCCCAGGCCTCCCAGGGTCCATAGCCACAGTGCACCCAGACGTGGGCTTCGTGGGGCTTGGGTTCCCCCTCTGGCTTGGCACCACCTGACTCTGCCTCAGGCTGCCAGGCTGCTGGCAGTATGCGTGTGTGAGTGTACATATGCGTGTGTGTGTGTGTGTGCATGCGTGTGTATGCAGTGGGGCACCAGCAGCCCGTAGCGCCCTCCTGGCAGCACACCTGTTGGGGCTGTGACTCCTCCATCTCCCTGCCTCACCCTAAACTGTTAAAACTCGGGGTCTCCCATGTGATGTTTGTTGTCATCCAGTTTTATTTTTTAAATGTATCAATTCCTAAAAACATGAATATTTTTGAGAAGAGAGGAAACTAGCACAATGTTCATTTGGGGGGTCCCTGGGAATTGAAATTTTACTCTCTTCTGTGTGTGTTTTTGAGGCAGGGTCTCACTATACGGTGTAGGCTGACCTTGAACTCACTATGTAGCACAGGCTGGCTCGAACTCATGGCGATGGTGCTGGGGGCCCTGCTGTTTGTCGACCTCCGGCTCATCCTGGATACCAGGGCCGGATTCACTGGCCCCTGGGCCTGCCCTGGGCTCCCTCAGCTTGGTGGTCAGGCCCTGGCCTGGCCCCCTGCAGAGCGGCTGCCCAGTTGGAAGCCAAGCTGGCCCTGGTGACACTTGGTCCCCAGCCAGGGTGGGCATGGGGCAGCCTGGAACAGCTTTGGGGCCTCAGGATGGAGAGAGGGGTCAGGACTCTGCCATGTGACATGGATCAGGGGATCAGGGGCACAGATACTCCCTCCTCCTGCATTTTGGGTGGGGGTTAGGGTCAGGGCTGGGTCAGGGTTGGGGTCAGGTACCTGACTGTGGTCTGGCTGGGATAACTTCCTGTCCAGCTCCTTAGAGATCCCCACACCTCTGCATCCGGGTCCTCACAGGTAGAGCCTTTGCCTGGTCAGGGGGGGCCACGCAGGTTTTGGGTGATGACGGACCTGGCTGTCTCGGGCTGGAGCTCCTGGCACCTCCCAGGGTGCCCAGATGGGATTTGTGGCTTGGGAACCTGCCCTGGACACACTGCACCCCACACCATGCCCATCTCCCCACTGACCCAGCGCCCAGTCTGGCTCACAGGAAAGGGCTGCCAGGCAGTGCCTGTTTCCCCTTCTTCCTGGGTGCCCTGTGGCCCGCTGGTCACACTTCCTTCATCAGCCTCTGGGGAGCGCTGGGGACATCTCTCTCAGGGCCCTGTCTGCAGGCTGTGGCCTTAGGGATGTGGGATCAGGTTTGCATAGAGGGAGCTGGGCCAGGATCTGTCCACACAGGGGCCAGGACTGGTGGGCACCATTTCCAGACCCTGGGCAGCCCCTCCAACCATGTGGTCCAGGGGCACCCACCCCTGGCAGGACCCTGCCTTCTCCAGTGACTCAGTCGCCTTCCTGTCCCCAGACCCTGGGTTTCTGTGTAAGACCCACCTGCCCATCTCTGGTAGAAGAGCTCAGGGCCTCAGTTTCTCTGTGTGCAAAATGACAACAACAGAGCCATCTGACGGGAGGACACAGGACTCCTCCTGTTAGAGGACAGCGGGGTCAGGCGGCAGTGTCCCCTTCCTTCAGCAGTCCTCAAAGGACGAGGTGAGAGAGGTGGGCCTGTGCCAGCCATCCAGTGGCCAGAGACAAAAGGAAAGTCCCAGCCTAGCATGACGGTGCAGAGCTGTGATCCCGGCCCTCTGGGAAGCTGAGGCAGGAGGGTCGCAAGTTCTAGCTCAACCTGGGCAATTTAGAGACTTAGCAAAACCCTGTCACAGAAGAAAAGCTGAAAAGGGCTGGGGATGTAGCTCAGTGCAAATGCCCTGGGTTCAGTCCTCAGTGCCACCAAAAACAAAAAAAAAAAGTCCATGATGTCAGTTGTGTGGGAATTTTATTCATGGTTGATCATGGCAGACTTCTTCAGCATTGATTTTATTTAGTTAGTTAGCTGGTCTTCTGAGACAGGGTCTCACTGTCATTCAGCCTGGCCTTGAATCCACTGTGTGAGTCCTCACTATATCCCCCACTGGCCTCAGACTTGTGGTGACCCTCCTGCCTCAGCCTCACAGGCTGGGATTACAGGATCTGCCACCACGCCCGCCCGGCACTTGATTTTATTTTTGCTGTGTTGCTGCTGCTAAGTGTGGGTCATCCTGATTCCTCAGTTTACCCTTTGCCCGTGGGAAGCCCTGGCCCAGGTCTTTACTGACAACAACATGAGGCCAGGGGCACTCAGGCGGCTGCGGGCCATGGACTTGACCTGAGTGTAGGGGTTTGCAGCGGAGGGAAAACCTGGGCTGTGACAGAGGGGGCCCTGCAGGTGGTCACAGCCAGGCTGGAGGGTCACCTTCCCTGGTCTGTGGCGCCTCCCCAGCCCTGAGCCACCCGGGGTCAGGGGTCCAGCAGGGAACCTGGGGGACCTGGCCAGGTGGTGGGGAACAAAGGCTGGAAATCCCTGCCCACTTCACCCCTCCAACGCCTGCCTCTCTCCCTTCCTTCCTTCCTTCCTTTCTTTTGATTTTAGTTCAAGACCAGCCCGAACTACATAGGAAGACCCTGTCTCAAAAACAGAAAGGAAGGCAGAGGCCTGGGGTCCCCCCCACCCCGCGCTCCCCTGTCTGGCCCTCGGGGTTTGCCTGCCAGCCCCGCCCCTTACTGACTGCTGTTCCCCCGCAGATCCTGGGCGCCGTGATCCTGGGCTTCGGGGTGTGGATCCTGGCTGACCGCACCAGCTTCATCTCTGTGCTGCGTAAGAGCCTGCGCCTGGGCACCCGGACTCTGCGGGAGGCGTGGGCAGAGCCTCCAGAGCTGGCTTCCTCTGCCACTGCCCTCAAGCCAGGGCCAGGCCAGGGCTGGGGTAGCCGGGCTTAGCGGGAATTCGCTCCCTCTCCCCAGACAACGCAGACCTTGTCCTGGGAGCCTTTCTCTCGGGGCGGCCTCAGAAAAGCCTCTTACAGGCGGAGCCCCTGCGTCCCGATTAGCACGAGTCCAGTCCAGGTCCCCAGCTCTACGGGGAAGAGCAGGAGGCATAGGCGGCCAGGGCCTGAGGAAGCCCGGCCTCCTGGAGCCAGCTGTCAGGGGCGTGTGATCGGCCACTTGTCACAGTGTCTCCCAGGGCCATCTGTCTTTATCCCCATGGCTCCAGCGGGAGCTGGCTGGTGTTCGGTTCCTGCTGTATAAAGGAAGAAACAGGAATCTCAGCACTCAGGAGGCTGAGGCAGGAGGATCGCATCGAGTCTGAGGCCAGCCTGGGTCACACAGTGAGACCTTGTCCCAAACAGCCAGAGACTCAGAGTGGCTAAGCCACTAGTGGGTGTAGGATGCCACCCAAGAGCCTCGGTCCTCAGCCAGGTTAGGGTGAGCCACAGCGTGGGAGCCCCTGATCCCTCCGGATTTGCTGCTCTGGCCTCCCGGGCTCCCCTGGGTTGTGCACAGATGCCCGCCCTGCCCTACCCTGCCCTGCTGAGGGCGGCCTTGGCTCCCCGGCCCTCCCAGCAGCTGCAGGGAGAGCCAGTTTGCACGCCAGCCGAGACAGCTGCTTGGCCTAACTAAACTGGAAACGGGCTAGGCTGGGTGACGGGAGCGGGCAGCTGTCACCACAGCCCACAAGGAGAAGCGGGTGCCTTGCCCTCCGACAGGCTGTCAGTCCTTTCCTGTGCTGCTATTTCCTGCCTCGGCCTCCAGGCTCTCCCAGGCCAGGGGCGCCCTCCTCTGCCTGGGTCAGGCCCTGCCCACACCCAGTGAACACTGCACCCAGAGTGCGGACTGGCTGCAGTTCTGCCTGGCTGGACCTTGCCCGGGGCTGACCCTCCTGGAGTGTGTGTGTGTGTGTGTGTGTGTGTGTGTGTGTGACTGTGACCAGGGCCTGCACCCTGAGCTCTGTCCCCTGTCCTTTTTAGTTTTCATTTTGAGACAGAGTCTCCTAAATCCCTAAGTTGGTGGGCTTGATATTGGGACCTTCCTGCCCCAGCTCCCAGAGTGCTAGCATTTATGGGGTCCCCACCTGAGACCTGAGAGGGGCACTTTACATAAACCCCAGGGCCCGAGCCCTGCCCACGCCTGTGTACCTGAGTCACCCACTGGGTGGAGCCCGAGCTCTGGGTCACATGGCACTCCAGGCAGCCCTCAGCCAGCAGGGCTCGGGAACTCTGCCCCACTGGCCAGCGCTGTGCAGCAGGGTAAACCGAGGCTGAAAGGGTCACAGCTGGCTCAGAGTTACACAGCAGCACGCGGGTCGGCACTGGGAGCCAGGGCCCCTGACCTGCCGTGTGCCAGGCCGTGTGACACATCTGTGTCCCCCACAAGTCCTCACACCCACCCTTGGACTGGGCGTATTGTACAGCTGTGGCCCCAGGTGACACCTGCTGCAGCAGGCGACGTCCCCACCCTGCCAGCCCCTGCCCAGTGTATGATCTGGGGAGCCCGGGAGACCAGAGCAGCAATCCCCGAAGACCTCCTGGAGGAGACGCCAGGAGACCGGAAGGGCCCTCGTCCTCACTCGAGGGCCCCTTTGCTCTGCCCTTGAGCGATCAGGGGGCCCCTTGCCTGCCCCGCCCCTCGTGGTCCCTGACACAGGAAGCCTGCGTGGCCTCCAAGCATCCCCACCCCATTCCGCCAGGTCCAGGCTCACAGCCCCGACCCTGCATCCCAGGTGGTCCCGGGAGCCCTTAGCCTCAATTTCCTCTCTGTGCCATCGGCCCACAGCACTTAGTTTAGGAGGCTCACTGCTCTCGTAGCGCTGGGCACCACTCCGCCAGCATGGGGCACAGCAGGGGAAGCCCTCACCTCCTTGCAGCTCACATCCCTGGGGCAGTGGGAGCAGAAATGGGCCAGAAAAATCGGTGAGGTGTGGAGGACACAGGATCCTGATGGGTGCAGGGGAGAAAAACTAGAGCAGGCTGCAGGTCAGGCTGGATCAGGGTGAGGGTGCAGTTGTCACGAGGATGGGGCACATCCAGGGGAGGCAGCGCCCTGGGGGTGCAGGAGCTGCTCCCTGATGGGCACCCCAGTTAAGACAGGGTCTCACTGTGTAGTTCAGGCTGGTTTTGAACCCACCATGTAGCCCAGGCTGGCCTCAAACTCAGACGTCCTCCTGCCTCAGCCTCTCGAGTGCTGGCATCACAGTCGTGTACCCTGGCCCAGCAATGTTGTCCCTGCGACCCTCAGTGAGCCGTGTCCCTCGTTCCCCCAGAAACCTCCTACAGCTCCCTGCAGGTGGGGGCCTACGTCTTCATCGCTGTGGGCGCGGTCACCATGGGCATGGGCTTCCTGGGCTGCCTCGGTGCCATCAACGAGGTCCGCTGCCTGCTGGGGCTGGTGAGTCGGGGCCCCACCGGGCCGGGCGGGGGCGAGGCTGGGGTGGGCGCCCCCTGCTGACCTCTGCCCTCTCTGCCCAGTACTTCGCCTTCCTGCTGCTCATCCTCATCGCCCAGGTGGTGGCCGGGACCCTCTTCTACTTCAATGTGGGCAAGGTGAGTGCCCCACTCCCATGCTGGGCCGGGCACCCTGGGAACAAGGAGCCACTGTGTTGCCACAGACACCTCCCGTTCTGTGGAGGACACGGGACAGCCCGGCGTGGACGCTCAGAGACCCTGTGTGAGGATCCTCACCGCCATGATGGGTTTTAGGCAGCAGCTCACACGCCTCATGGTTACAAGGTGGCTGCCACTGCACCAGGCTTCAAAGTGAGCGCTTAGAGTTTTAGACTCTCCACACAGAAGCATAGGAGATAAGGGAACAGGAAGGGCCATTGGGTTTTGTGACTGTCCCAGAGATCATTTATGGACATGGTGGGTGCACGTGACATCTTCTGAAGCCTTAGGGATAGGTGGGAGCTGCAGCACAGAGAGGTTAGGCAACTTGCTCAAGGTCACGCAGCTTGGAATTAGCAGAGCCAGGATTGGAATCCAGGCATCCTGTTTTCTGAGTCCAAACTGATAACATTTTCATGGTGATAATCCTTACCTACATCCTCATTCCTTGTGTATAATCCACAGCCAGGCTGTTTTTCAGGAGAACTGGAGCTGGCTCCCAACGAGGCAGCTAAAGCCAAAACAAGAGAGAGCAGAACTTAGACTGAGAGGAATACTCTTGTTCCTGACTTGAGTGTTGAGTTTCCTGGAGGCCAAAGCAAAAGAGGAAATAGTAGAGTCTGAGGATGGGGAAGTTCACTTGGCCGTGAAACAGACAGGAAGCCGGCAGTTGGGGTGTGAAACTCCTTCCCTAGCCAGGGGGTCATGCACGGGGCCAGCTCTGCACCTCTCTTGCGTGGTACCCCGGCCGTGCCCGAACCCTGTCCTGGAGTCTGTTCCTGCAGGGTGGCTGAGCCCCCAGGCTGTGGGCTATGCTCCCCCAAGTGGAGACAGAGGGGCCCCGCCCCACCCCCAGGGCTGTTACAGAGCAGGGAGGGACTCAGCCACTGTGCCTCAGTTTCCTCTGTGGCCCTAACAGGGGCCCAGTCTCTCTCCCCAGGGCCGGAAGTGGTAGCTGCAGAGGCCTGGTCCCCCAGGGCCGGGCGGTGACAGGTGCTCGCTATGTCGGGTTCTGTGCACGTCCGGCCCACAGGGACACAGCTTCCCGGTCAGCTCCGGGCTGCACGGCTCGGGCCGTCATCAGCCCCTGGGCCGTGGGACCTGCGGCCCCTCGCAGCCGAAGGCCCTGGGTCTGCGGCACCGTCCCTGGTGGGGGAGGCAGGCGAGGTTGCAGGGGCTCCTGGAGACTACTGCAGGGGCTCACCCTGCCTGAGAAAGGGATCTCTGGGCCCCTGCTCCCAGAGAGGTGGTCAGGAAAACCGGGGATCCCCCAGCCCCAAGTGGCAGTACTTACAGGTTCCCACTGACTAAGCGGCCCTGGGAAAGCCCTGACCTGGCCCTGGCTTCCCCAGGCAGGGGCGGCTGAACCCCACGGGGACAGGGGAGACTTCTGATCTGGGAGGGGAGGAGGGGCGCCCGGGCTGGCCCTCAGGAGAGGGGACAGGGGGACTCAGCAGGGGGTCGGGGTCCAGACCCAGGGCTCCCCTGGGAGCTTGGTGGCCGGGGATGCCGTGCTCCTGCTGGCTCCAGGGGTGCTGGTGCCCCCCACGCTGGTCACAGTTCAGGACCCGGCCCTGGGAACATTTCACTGTGGGACAAACGGAAAGTCCAGCCTGGGGGTCAGAGGGGTCCCCATCAGGGAGTGAGGGTGCGTGGCCCAGGGCCCAGAGCCACGTGTGGCTGGTTTTGTCCCTGGACTCTGTCACTTCCCCGCTGCTGACCAGCTGGGCGATCAGGGCCTTTGAACTGAGCTACGTCCCCGGCCCCCTTATTTTGAGACGGTTCTCACCAAGTCGCTAGATAGCCCTGGCTGGGCTCCAACTGGGATCCTCCTGCCTCAGCCTCCCCGAGTGCTGAGATGACAGCTGTGCCCACCAGGCCTCGCCCTTAATAATCTTTAAAGCAGCGTCTGCACTTGCTCAGTGGCCGGCGCTGTCACCCAGCCGAGCCTGTCCCGGTCTCCATGTGGCAGTGCTGGCCTCAGTTGGCTTCCTTCTCAGGAAGTCCTCGCCCAGTTCCACCCAATGCCCCGGGTGGCACTGCCAGTCACAGCCCATCCCACTCCACAGTGAGCGGGAGAGTGGCAGCCAGGGGCAGGCCCGGCCCACGAGTTCCCAGCAGCCCTGGAGGGTGCACTGTCCCGCCCAGCTCCCTCCTGGGCTTTCTCCTCTCTGCCCCTCCCCTGTTGCCAGGGCAACCGTCCCTGGCGTCCCAACACAGGCCTGTGGGACAGATGCAGCCACCCCAGCTTGGAGTGGAGCCCCAGCACCTGGTCCCAGAGGCCAGTGATGTCCCAGTCGCGCTCTGGATACTGCAAGAGGTGGCGTTTCCATGGAAACCACCTGGGGGTGGAATTCCCCCCCCATACCTTCCCGTTGCTGGAGGCCTGGGCGGGGCCAGGAAGTCTGGACACCACACTGGGTATAAAGAGAGCCCAGGCTCCGGAGGAAAGGATGTGGGTGAGGTGGCTCCCACGCAGAGGGGTCTGTGGGCTGACACCACACTTCGTGGAGGAAGTGTGGGTCCAGATCTCTGCTCTTACGCACCCTGGCTGTGTGACGTTGGCTGAGTGAATTAACCTCTCTGGGCTTCTTGTCTGCATCTCCGGATTGTGGGAACAGGGCTAGGACCTAGGTCCATGTGAGGATTACACTGAAGTCCCAGCACTAACAGGGCACCTGGACTGCAGGGCACTGGGGCAGGGGTGTCTGGATTTAGCGTCTGACGGGGCTTGGGGGAGCCCCACTGATAGGCTTCCTGGAAGACACTCTGGGAAAGCCCCACCAACACCCCATCCTGCCTCACTCAGGTCTCTATTCTCTGGAAGTGAGGGCAGTAGGCACGGCCTTCCCCTCCTCATCCTGGGCCGGTGCTGCGGGCTGCTGCCCACATGCGTGCCCACAGTGGCAGGAGGCTGGCAGGCCACATCCTCTGCTCCTCCAAGTCCTTTGCCTGCCTCATTTGCCATCAGCCTTCATGTGGGGTGACTGAAAGCTGGGGGCTTTTCACCTCAGCCACCAGGGAGCTCAATCCCTGACCAGGGTTGGTGGCGCAGTCAGGCTAGGACCAAGGCTCTGACTATCCATCAGTCCCGGGGCCCTGATGCTGTCTCCCCGGAAGAAGGAAACTGGGCCCCGTTTGTCTGCCTGGTCCCTCTGGGCAGTGGGGGCCCAGCAGCGTCTATGAGTGTCCCCTGAGTGGGAGAAGACAGCCAGGCTACTGTGCACACGGGGTCATCCATGGGTGAGGCACACCCCTGCTCTGACGGGGCCAGGCTCAGCCATGGGGACTCTGCAGCAAGTACGCCTCGTGGAGTCCCTGTCCCCATCCAGATGGCATCCTGCAGGGAGGGAGAGAGATGGCCAGGCGTGTCCTGCAGGGTGCAGGGGAGCAAACTCCTAGCTTCTGCGGGTGCCCGGAAAGGAGGAAGGGGACAGAGGGCTTGGTGACCACAGAGGACGTTGGCATTTTTCCTGAGGGTGGGAGGAGGCCATGGGAGGCCTCCAGCAGCGAGCGGGCAGGGCCCGGAGCCTGAGCCAAGGTTGACTGCGCCCTGTCACTGCCCGCAGCTGAAGGAGGAGATGGGCACCGTGGTGTCGGGACTGATCCAGAACTACAACGCCAGCGGCGGCGACAGCCTGCAGGAGGCCTGGGACTACGTGCAGGCGCAGGTGAGCGGTGGGTGACCCGCTGGGCATGCGGGGGGCATCTCCGTGCCTTGCTCAGGCAGGGGACAGGCTGGGACACCCCCTCTCCCAGGGAAGAGGCAGCCGGCAACGGGAATAAAGAAGCTAGAGCCCGTTGCCTGAGCCGGGCGTGGTGGCACCCACCTGCAACCCGAGCCCCCAGAGGCTGAGGCAGGAGGATGGCCGGGTTCCAGGCCAGCCTCCCGCGCTGCACACTGAGACCACGGCTCTCAAGAAAAAGAAGAAACGCGGGTGCCTGGCGCCCTCTGCTGGCCTCAAAGCCGCCGGCCCCGCTCCTCCTCGCCACCCTAGGAAGTAGCCCCTAGCTGAGTTTGCAGGCAGAGCCGCACAGACCTCCTTCCCCGATTTATCCTTCAAAACTGCAGAACTGACCCTTTTCACTTCGGGGACCTGGGAGCTCAGAGCCAAATTTCAATGGTGCGCAGGCTCAGCACCTCATGGCAGGGCTGGCCGTGCTGGGCCCCCTCTCACTGGCCTTGCCAGACCTGTGCCCACGTCAGCCTGTTCTTTAGGAGCCTCTGTTCCCCTTTCATAGGGAAGGAATCTGGTTTTTTTTGTTTTTTTTTTTTTTACTTTTGGGGTCAAGGTCGCACCACAGAGCCCAGGCTGGCCTCGAATTCACTATGTCGCCAAAGTTGGCTTCACGTTCACAGTGCTTCTCCTGCCTCAGCCTCCCGAGCTCTGGGGTTACAGGCGTGCACCAGCCTGAAAGCTGCCCCAGTGGGCCCTACACCCCAATCCCCGCAGCCCTGCTGTTCCGGGGTCCTGGCCAGGGAGGTGGGAGGCGGCCTCTGAGTGACCCTGGGACTCCGCCCGCGCCTCCCCTTCCCCCCGCTAGGTGAGGTGCTGCGGCTGGGTCAGCTTCACCAACTGGACGGAGAACGCGGCGCTCATGAACCACAGCGAGATCGTCTACCCCTGCTCCTGTAAGGACACGAGCCGCGGGGACAGCGGCCTCTCGGAGGTGAAGGGCTTCTGCACCGAGACCCTGAACACCACCCAGAGCGGCAACAACCCCGACAAGTGGCCGGTGTACAAGGAGGTGAGCGCCCCTCCGCGCCGGGCCCGGGGAGGTCATCGCGCGTCGCTGCCCCAGGTGCCCTGGCAGCCGGCGTGCCAGGCGGGGGCACCACGAGGCTGACCCGGCCGTGTCCCCGCAGGGCTGCAAGGAGAAGGTGCAGGTGTGGCTGCAGGAGAACCTGGGCATCATCCTGGGCGTGTGCGTGGGCGTCGCTGCCGTGGAGGTCAGTCCCCTGCCCTCTCCGGGGGGTCCTGGGGGGGCGTGGCCGGGCCATCAGCCTCCAGCGGGGTCCCTCCTGGGCTCTGCCCCTGCATCCCAGGCCTGGACATGGCAGGAAGGGGCTCTGGCCTGGACAGGTCACCTCCCTGACGCCCCTGTCCCCCACAGCTCCTGGGCATGCTCCTGTCCCTCTGCCTGTGCCGCCACATCCACTCTGAAGACTACAGCAAGGTCCCCAAGTACTGAGGGGCCCGTGTCCCCGCTCCCCGCCCGCCCGATGCCCCCCAGGGGCTCCCAGCCCCTCTTCCCCGCCCCTCCCCCCTCGCCATGCTGACGGGAAGTGGGGGCTTTCTGGGGCCTGCACCCCTCTCCCTGCTCTTTTGCGGCCGGCGTTGAGTCCCAGGTGGCCCCCGTGGCCTCTGGCCCGCTGCCCGCCAGCCAGGGGACTCTCAGCGGCTCCGGCTCCGAGGTCACTGCCCGCACTGTCCTGCGTGGGCAGCGGTGTTCTCCCCGCCCCGCAGCCGGGGGGGTTTGCAGGGGCGAGCGCGTCAGACCCGGGTGGGGGCTCCGCCCACGGGGCGGGGCGGCTTTCTCCCCCCAGCGTCCTTGTGTCTGGTTTCTCCAATGTCCATGGAAGGCCGTGGGACTGCGTGGACAGCAACTCGGCCCAGCCGGCCACGCCGAGTGAGGGCAGGACCTCGTGAGCCCTGGGTAGAGACAGGGTTTGCCTGCTGGGGATACGGGAGCCCTCAGGGCGTGGCACAGGCAGAGCCCCCCATCCTGCAGAGCCCGAGGGGAGGCTGGGCCGCCCTGCTGGGCACTGTCCGGTCCCCTGTCCCTGCCCCGCCCCGCCCCCAGCGGTGCTGAGCCTGCGCCTCGCTTGGGGCACTGGGGCTCCCTCCGTGTGCTCAGCTCTGTAAAACAAGCTGAAGGCTCCGAGACCATTAAAGTGGGTTTGTAAGAGTCCTGCTGGAAGTGGGGGCCGTTGGCTCCAGGGGTGGGGAGGACGCGCTGGTGTGACCAGAGAGGCCGTGTCTTTGTCAAACATCCAGCTTTGAGGAGGATCTGTGAGGGAACCCGTCTCATATCAAAGACATAGAGCCCCAGGGGCAGAAGCCAGGGCCCCTTTGAGAAGGAACGGGAGACTTTATCTGGGGGTGGGGGGTTGACACAGTGTCGCCCTAGGCGGCCCAGGCTGGCTCCTAGGACGAGACCCCGCAGATGGGAGGAGTTTCAGCAGGGCCCGCCAGGGGGCGCTGCCGCCTAGGCCTGGGAGGCTGGTTACCATAGGCACCGCGGTTACCCCAAACCTGTGTCCCGGGTGCCCTGGGAGTATTTGTGACATTGCAAATGCCAGGGTTCCAGGACTCTGGAGCAGCACATCTGGGGTGGGGACAAGGGCTATTCATTTTTCTTTCTTTCTTTCTTTTTTTTTTTTTTTTTTTTTTTTTGGTTTTTGAGACATGGTCTTGCTATGTAGTTCAGGTTTGCCTCAAACTCAGTGATCCTCCTGCCTCAGCCTCCTGAGCGTGGTGATCACCGAGGGCGCCACCACACCCAGCTCAGGACTCTGCATTTTTTGCAGACCTCCAAAGTGATTCCTGAATCACATCGCTTTAGATCCTCAGGCCATGGTAGGATGTGGCCATGGACTGTCACCCTAAAGAGAGGTGGGCCGGCGGCACTCAGAAAAGCCTCCTATCACAAAGACAGCACGGATGTGAAAACATAAAACTTCACAGAAAGTACAGGCAAGGGTGAACTAAACGAAGCACCGAGCTGCCCCTGGGTTTCGTTACCTGGAGATGCGTCCTAGTCATCTGTAAGAACCAACATCACTCAGCATCAATCATTGCAACGTCAGACGCCTCAGCTCTGCTCTGTCAACCAGTCTAGTTGGATTGCAGATTGATTGCAATTACCACCCTGGAATACATATTGTTATACTGAGCCACTGGTTTGCCTCTGAGCTTCCTAGGGGCCAAAGGGAAAAGGGGAAATTCATCAGTTCCACAGCTCTGATTGCCGAGGTGTCCTCACAGGGAGCTGCTAGGAGATATGTGTCTGGCTGGAATCCAGAATTCACACACACACACACACACACACACACACACACACACACACACACACTTTGATAGCACTTCAAGGAGAAGCCATTGGGCCAAAGAGCACAAATGAGCTCCCTGAGTGCCCAGCCACATGCCAGTTGGTAGCAGTGCCCACAGAACTGGTGCTGCTGGCCAGGGAGGGATCAGGAAGGCCCAGTGACTTCCCAGGAAGCGGCAGGGCGCATTTTGCTTACCCATGGGTGCACAGAGCTTGTGGCTGGCTGCACGAAGGTTCATTTCCTCGCTACGCTGTGTGAAGTGCCTGTTCCTAATGACATCCTCAACTTCCTGTCATTGCCGGGAGGATGGGGAGCCTGGCCCTAGCCAGCTGGCCACACAGCTGCCCCCAACCCTAGCCATGCTGCCTGCTTACCTCAGTGGGAGCTGTTCTCAAGGGGGAGCCATCAGCATCTGCTCCACATCCACTATCTGTGACCACAGAGGACCCCACGGGCCTGCTCTGCCCTGAGGGTGGTCTGCAGGGGCACAGGGCCTGTGGCCAGGACAGGGCAGCCATGGCGAAGTCAGGAGTCAGAGCCTGGTTCAGGGCCTTCTTGAGATGCAAGTGTTTTAGCCACTTTCCTGGTCACTGGGACACAATACCTAACACCCACAAATTAGAGGAGAGGTTCGCTTTAGCTCACAGTGTCTAGGTATCAGTCCACAGTCAGCTGGCGCCAAGGCAGAGTGGCCTGGCGGAAGAGAGCTGCTCAGGGCATGGCGGACAGGAAGTGGAGAGAGAAGGGAGGGGCCAGGAGGGAGACAGACTGTGCCAGCGGTCAGTGACCACCAGTGACCGCCTCTCCCAGCCAGATCCCACCTCAGTAAGTCAGCTGTGGCAACCCATAATCCAGTCACCACACACAAGTCCTGAGCCCCTGAGGCTTTAGTGGAGCTTAATGTGGAGAGTTGGGGGACCTCTGTGGGACCCAGAGCCTTGCAGGCATAGAGGGTCTGACCCAGCTCAGAAGCCCCTGGTGACCATGTGGGCTCCAGGTTGTCCAGCCTCAGAGTTGGTTGAGGCTGCCCTATGAGTGGGCACTCCTGCCCTCCAGCAAAGTCTGGGGGTGACTGCAGGAGCCCCAGGAGGAGAAGGAGGGTTCCTGTAGTCCCTTGAGGTTGAGGACAGCACCAGGTAGGGTTCCATCTCTCCTGAGCCCCCAGACCTGTGGTGGAAAGGAAGCTGAGCCTCCCTCAGAGGTGCTGGGGAAGCTGAGGGTCCCCAGGGGTTACAGGGCAGGTGTCAGTGGTCCCCAGGGACTGTTCTTTTAGGAGGGCTCTCACAGCTTCATCCTCAAGGAAGGAGTGCCAGAGAGTGTTTCGGGGTGTCTCTTCATCTCTGCCGTCCCCCCAGGAGCAGGGGGCCTTGAAGTTCCATCCAGCTCCACCCCATTGTCCAGTGTGACCCTAGCAGACAGTGGGGGTGGGCCCCAGACTTGTCTGCAAAACTCTTCAGAGAAGAATGAGACAGTGTCAGAGTTTGGGGGGCCGCACCCCAGGCTGCTTCCTCTGACTCACCCACCCACCTAGAGTCCTGCAGGCAGAAGGCACCAGAGTCAGGATTAGAACCCCACACTTCAGCTTCAAAGGCTCCACAGAGCCTCGATTCCTGGGTCAGCCCCAGGCTGGGGCTGCGGTGTCACCCAGCGCACAGAGCCTGCTGGCCCCTGAATCTCAGCCCCCACACAGTTCCAGCAGGGAGGGACCTCAGCGCTGATTCCCTGTCCCCACGGTGGCCCCAAAGTAGTCACCTGCCGGGCTGGGCTCCCATCCCTTCTGCCTTCCTGCTGGCCATGGGTGCTCTCTAGGCCCTTTAGGAGCTGATGGCAGCATCCAGGACACATCCGGGAGGTGGGTGCTGGCCTAGGTGCTGACAGAGGACAGGAGCCTCGTGGCAGGGTGCAAGTGTGGGCCCTGAGGGATGGGCCGGGACAGAGGTGGGCCAGGGCATGACAGTGGGTCTGCGTGTGTGTGCACACAGACACACAACCCCCTGGGGCTGGAAGGCCGGCTCTCCCGTGGTTCTGGGAAGGTCCAGTGTCTGCCGGCCAGATCTCTTCCACTATCCCCGGCCATGAGGTCTTTCAGGAAGCCATCGGGGCATGCAGGGGGACAGCGGGGGCACGTGGTCTGCCAGCCGCCAGGGCCAGGCATGCCACCACCACGTCCTCCTGCAGAGGACAGAGCCCCGTGCCTGGCTGTCCTCTGGGGTCCTCTGACCCCCGGACTAAGCTTCATTCACCCCTGTGTTCTTTCCCGCTGTCACCCACGCCCTGCTTATCCTCCGTGGACTGTACCCGGCCCGCACACCGTTCCAGCTCCTGGGAACACATCGCACCTCAGACCCAGGGCCACCACCCTCTCGGCACCCGGGCTCTGGAGAGTGATGTCATACGCAGCCCTGTACACGGGTGCACCCATAGCACACACATGTTCACAGGTGCAGACAGGCGGCCACACCAGTGTCTCCTCCCCACACTGCAGGGCCTCCCCCTGCCGGATCACAAGGGCCACAGTGAGGTGAGAGTGGGTGGCTTCACCCCTCTTTAGAGGCATCTGGAAAATGGGGCCTTTAACTTTGCATCCAAGGCATCACCACGGAAACACGGCCTCGTGTCAGCAGATGCTTGGGTCCCCAAAGGAGGCCCTAGGACCAGAGGGGCACACATGGGCAGAGCTCTGGGCCTGTACTTCCAGCATAGGGACAGCCCTGGGGCCCAGCGGCTCCCCGCAGCTCAGCCCCTGCAGGTGGGGGACCAGCAGGCACAGAGCCAAGCCCCTTCCTTGCTCTGTCACCTCGATGCCTCTGGCCTCAGCCTGGCCACAGGACCACTTCCTGCAGGACACTGGGGTACAGAGGTGGAGAAGGACGGAAGGCAGAACTGGAGGACTCCTCTGCTGGCTTCCTGGGGCCGCGTGGTAGGGGAAGCCAACAGCAGTGAAGGGCCAATTGCCACCCCGTCACACACCTGGGCAGCCCAGCTTGGGCCATCAAGGTGACAGGGACCCTGAGATCCCAGCCACCACCCCTCCAGCTCCTGCTTCCTGGAGGCAAGGAACTGGGTTCTTTCTGTGCCGGTTCTGAGCTGTGACTTGAGGTTTGTGTACCTCAGCCTCTCAACACTCTCTCCCCACCCTGTCACAGCTGTGTGAAGAAGCCAGGTCAGCCTGGGGACAACAGGCCCCTGAGACTGCCACCTGTCCTCCCCGTCCTTCTGTGACAGATGCCAGCCTGCGGAGCCAGCCTAAGGCTTGAGGGCCAGCTGCCTGCCAGGATCGGTTCTAGGCCTTATTACACCCCCTAAAGAGGTCTGAGAGCTTGTGTTACCTTGGTGCACAGGCAAGAAAGACACATCAGTAATCCAAGTGTTTAGGAGGCTGAGGCAGGAGGATCACTGAGAGTTTGAGGCCAATTTGGGTTATATATAAGATCAAGGCCAACCTGAGCCACACAGCAAGAGCCTCTCTCAGAAAACAAAATGGGAAAAAAAAAAAAAAAGGCTCAGAGCAGATAATGCAGGTCGCCCCACAGTCGAGACAGAGACGCGTGAGGGCCTAAGTCTGCCCCGGGGACTCGGGCTGTGAATCTCCTTCCCTGTCTTGATGTCAGCGTGGCAGTGCTGGGGTGCATAATGTACTCTGCACACAGGCGCTGACATCATGGGCACATCGGCGCCTCCTCCTGTTCTCTGCTGCCCTGGCATCCCTCATGCTGCTGGGAAGACAAAGACAGGGGACAGGCGGTACCTGTCCCACGGGGTGTCGGCCTCTTTGGTACTGGTTTCTACAGTGTGCGTTCTGCCGTGGGGTACATGCTGGGTCCCTACGGTGGGGACCTGACTTCTTAGCCTGCCT